ATCTTGTATTAATTATTAAAATCATGAAAAGACATAAGGCTTCAGTTTCGAACATACTTTCAAGTTACTTGGGGCCAAAGCTTAAGATTTTTTTAGATACAACTTGATTGATTTCAGTAAAGCGTTTGATATCTTTCCGATTAAAATCGAACCATGTGTCAAGCACATCTTCGAATTCTCCATTTTATATGAAAAGAACGAGACTTATAAACAATTTATTAAAATTTTAGTTTAAAGTTTTTACCCTCATCCATATTACCAAAACGAGGTAATTTAAACAAAAATAAATTTCATTTTCTAAAAAACTTCAAACAAATGTTTTGAACATTATTCAAGTTTTTTGTCATTTTTGTGAAATAAAAGCGGAATATTATATTTCTAGAATACTATTAAATATCAATGACTTTGTTTATCTTTAATTATGAGCGGCAATAATTCACTTTTCTTTCGAGCAAAAAATCGAAACAAGAAGGAATTCCTCTGTTTGTAACCGAAGAAAAACATGGCCGGGTTTCATTAGCGGGAAAAATTACGACAAACACATTTCAATGTAGAAGTCGGTGAAGTGATTGGCCAGATGGGGATCTCGGTGACTGTGATGCACTCGTGCACTCGAGATGCACAAATGAGTAAACAACAACGCAGGTAAATAAGCCAGGTTCCCAGTTGTGGAGTAATCACAGTTTTTATAAATAAGACGAATATACAGACAGGGAAAGCTAGGTTAAGTAGAAACATGTGGATATGTTTTCAATGTTTTCTCTCGTGATATTTTCCCATGTCTTTGAATCTTGTCAATATCACCAAAACATGTTTATTCCTTACTATTACTTCACACAAAACATATGTTCGTTATTCTCGTACGTTCTCTGAGATAGTAGGCGTGGCTTGTGAAAAGCGCGCGAGAATGACTCGCTCCTGTCGCGTGCATTGAGGATCTACCAGGGCAGGTCTGCCACACTACACGACACGTGCTTTTGATTATAAAAAATTCATATTTTATATGGGAATGTTTCTATTTCTGAAACAAAAGGGAAATTTTAAATTCCAGATGTTTTTGAAGAAAGTCGTTTTTTATTTGCGAATTTCCGGGTTTGTGACTAAAATATTTAGACAAGTTTTATCTATTACATTGTAGATATCTTATATCAGAATTAAAATATTATTCCAAAATTATAATCCCTCGTCTGTTTGGGGAATTCGCTTACATTTCTAATACGTCCTCAAATACATATAAATATTACTTTTATTCTCCTTTGCTTATCATTTTATCATTTTAATACAAAAGATTTCTTGCTCTTGATGGGTATTCAAGGGACATAATTCCATTTTTTCCAGATTTAATAACGCCATAATAAGACAATTCAATATCTGCTTTGATCGTCCATGTATAACCAGCCTAATTGTATCATTAACACAGAAGGGGTTGTAGCTTTGCTCACTCTACCAGAATGCCTAATATTACTCTCTTGTTGGGTTTGTCAACTTTTTATGTCACTTCTAGGTTTGTCAACTCTATATGGCATTTCTAGGTTTGCCAACTCCTCAAGTTTATCAACTCTTAAAGTTTGTCAACTCTGGGAATGTCAACTCTTGGAATGTCAACTCTAAGTTTGTCAACTCTTAGAGTTTGTCAACTCTGAGATTGTCGCTCTGTGTTTGTCTATATATAAACTCTACGTTTGTCAACTCTATATGTCACTTTTAGGTTTGTCAACTCTGGGATTGTCACTCTATGTTTGTCAACTCTACATGTCAACGCTAGGTTTGTCTACTCTGGGTTTGTCAACTCTAGATTTGTCAACTCTAAGTTTGTCAACTCTAAATGTCATATTTAGGTTTGTCAACTCTGGGATTGTCACTCTATGTTTATCAACTCTATATATCAACACTAGGTTTGTCTACTCTTGGTTTGTCAACTCTAAGTTGGTATGTCAAAGCGACCTGAAGTACAGTAGCAACTGTTCAATATTAATTTGTACAATGAGAAGTTGATGTAAATGAATCTTTGCAAATATAATTCATTCAACAACACCTGATGCTACCCTACTACTGGGTTTTTCAAGTCCAGCACCAGCTCTGCCCTTCTTGGTCTATTGACACGATGGGAAGAAAGTGTAATTAAACTGAAGGAGTTGTAGATGTATGAGATTGTGTAACCTTTAGAGAACCTCGTCAAAATTACAATATTAATACCAGATGGTTTTACGCGCGAAAACTGATCTATTACGCATCATCACATGGTAGCAGAAGTAGAATATTCTCACGAGCGGCAGTAGTAAAAGATAGAGCGTGAGAACCAAGTTGCTATGCATTATGACATGCATTTTGTGGCATTTCTAGGGACGCGTTGTCATGACAATTTAACAAACAAACGCATGTTTTTGGTAATATTGCGAAATTCCCATGAATGTTTGGTTTCAGTCGACATTCCAATGTCGTTCAAGACTTATTCCCATCATTTTGTCAATCTTGAGATTTATTCTTCATTTCCGTTCCAATGACTTTAAATATTTCAAATCTAATGACTGGTGATGACAAGCTGGTTTCTGGTAGAACTATTCTAGTGAATTGGTATTTATGTTCCTTTATGATTTCAAATAAACAAACCTCGATAGATAAGATACTGTAGAAATTAGCGGTATAACATCAAAGAGTTTTGTATAGTCTAGAAACGATATTAAGATGTAGATTTATATTATGACTTCAATTATTACAATAAAAGATGGCTATTTGATAATTGTTTGATCTACATTTGATATTAATAAATATTATTATAATTCAGAATGAAAATATATCCTGCGATAATATTTATAATATATATAATGTTTACAATTCAAAACGTGTTGATTTTTACCTATCATCAAATTTTACTAGGTTTATACAATTTCGGTGGTCCTTTTGATGTCCCGACCACCGGTTGGAAGTTCTGAACTTTGAACCAAGGTCGTTCAAGTTACAGAATACGTTATAGAAATATTATTTTTGCCCATGGCGGGAAAAATTCGGTTGGCGGGAAACGGAAAAAGCTATAGCTATAGCAGAATAGGCGAATGACGTGGTTTCCAGCCAATTAAAACCTTTAGGAGATAGTTACAATAAATTGTCAGACATTGGGCCTATATATTACCAGGGTGCTAGACTGGAATTGGTTCCAGGAAGTTTACATGGTCTGCTGGGATTCCACGACGCCTGAAATACTTTCTAATAATATGAATATGACTTTAAATTGGCCAATAAAAAATGTAGGTAGTAAATTTCCGCTCGGCGACAGAAATTCGATGCAATCTTCTCAATTTCTTTCTAAATATGTTTCTGCATCAAGATTTTGTTTCTAAATTCCTGTTTCACATCAACTTTTTACAACTTCTATAAACAATGAAGTGATGCACTTAAAACAGCAGATGCATTAAATATGCAGTGTTTCTGCATCTCCCACGCCATGTCAAGCGCAGCACTTGATCACGTGATGGAAATTTGGCGCCAAACAATTGTTATGAAGCAGACGTTTGTTATTGAATATGATATATCGGTGACGTCAGATCTTTAAATTATGAAATATTACAATTTAAATGAAAGATTAACTGATTATCTGATTATAAGTATTACTCTACATAATTCTATTCTTTTATTTTTGAGGGTTACTACAATGATTAGGCCTACAAACGTACAAAGCTTTAGCCTACCATTGATAAAACGAAACGAAGTTTTGATGAATCTGTATTTTGATTAAATCGATTGAAAAATAAAGTGGATAGGCCTAGCCTATATGTTATTCAACCACAATTCTCTAAAGTTACATTTCGAAGCCAGCTAAATTCGTATTAATTCTCTTAAATTACAGTAATTTGATTGTGTGTGCTCAACGATTGGAATTCAAGAGTTCAAGATAAGACATATTCATCCATCAACACTGCTTTCGGGGACGTCTCGTTGTAGATTAGCGCCGAGATTTTCAACAGTTCATTTGGACAACTGTCATTTTCCATGACGTAACGTAACATACGTATTGTCTAGAAGAATACTGGAGATAATTAGCGAGAGTAGAATATTCCACAGCGGTTTTAAAACGAGCTAGAAATATAATATCTTTCAAACCAATTTCTCTGTCATGGTTCACTAAGATCCATATAAAAACTAGATGATTTAAAAATTGAAATATGTGATTTTTGAGAAGGTATTTGGTGTATTACATACCGTTAAGAAACACGGTGTGCCATATGCTGTGTAGTGCCCAGAGTCTTTGTTACTCATGGCGTTATTTATTTTAACTGGAAAATACATTACCGTTTATATCACTCAGTTAAAGAATGTATTCATTATTAATATATAGAATAGGTTTTTGAAAGCATTTGTCAACTTCTGAACGATATAGCATGATATTTACCGCCAAAAAACAATTTGTTTGGAGCTCATAATTCAGGAGGAAAAATGGCGGTGTTAGATAACGCTATGAAGAAAGTTTTTTTTTAGTCAATTAATCATTTATTACTGACAAAAGCCACTTTAATAATCGTATTGCTGGATGTAATTTGACAAACCCCAGGGGAGGGACAGGGGGACTTACTGGTACGCCCCCACCCCCTCCTCCTACTTTACTTTTCTTATCATTTAAAATCCTGAAAGCCTACCCTGGACAATTCTGCGGGCCCGTTCTCGGCTTACCCATCAAATGATTATAGAAACGCCATTTCAGATTTACATTGAGTTTTTGTAAGGATGCTTTAGGTGAAGCAGTGCTTGATGAGAGTACGATCAAGAGTTATTACCCTTGACTTTGTTAACGTAAGCTACACCAACAACACATTAGAGTTACATAGATATCCATATGCAAAGCATTACTTGATCACTTTTATGATATTTGGAAGTATTTTATCAAGAGTTATCGCCCTTTATTTTGAAACGTACATCAAAATTACATTAGAGGCTATGTGAAGGAAAGGGCTTCATCTTTTGCCTCATCATTTTGTTTGGATTTAATACAATAAAATATGTTTAAATCATGTGGACACTCTGAAAGCAATGCTGAATAGACAAACAAATAATATAACCTCAGCTCTCGTTTTATTGCGTAAGATATGTTCTGAATTGCGACCAGGATCTTCATAAAATGTTGGTGCCATCTGATACGCTGTACCAGGAACTAAACAGTCTGTATCAAGTCAAGTATCAGCATTATTTTTACAGTTGTTTTAAAAAACTCAAAAGATGAAAGGGTAAAGTCGGCGTGCTGCGGGAAATTTCTAGTTAATATACTTGTACAAACTAAATGACTGCTGTGTTAATAAGTAGTAAGTAATTTACTAGTATAACTGACTATACGGCTCAAGGGACACCTGGTCGAAATTCTCTCAGTGGCTCTACTACCATTGGGACTGGTTGAACCAAGTCTACGGGTCCCCACCCCAAGAAAAAAAACCAAAATTAAATCAAAATGTACCAAAGTAAGTATCTAAAAGGACAACACACATATAGCCTAAAATAGTTTACAACTGATGCTGGGGCTCTATCAAGGACAATATTGTGTCCTTATTTAAGAAAAATAAGGCCCTATGTCAGGTTCACTTGGGGGTGGCCCCAACCCACTTGAGTCCCCGGTCTCCCACTCATCTAGTTGAGCCCCTGAATACTCTCAGCCCGACTCGCTACTCTAGTCAAGTACTGTTTATTAAAAATTGTGTTGAATATGACTCGAATTAAGATTCGGTGCTGGAGACGACCTAGGAGAGCAATTAGTGATGACTTCTCTACCGAATTTTAATTACGAGTTGAAATTTTTCAGCTTAACACCTGTGACATCAAGAGTAAAGATCGACACCCCTCTGTGACTGATATCATCCAATAGAATGTATGCTCGTGCGATTCTCGTGCAATGCACGCTCTCACGTGTACGCCATGTTATTTGAACGATTTACAAGTAGCCTCGTTGTGGCGTGACTAGTTGTGAGCCCATCATGCAATATTTTCCCACGCTGCCGCCTGATCATTTCAAGCATCCTGGTTTTTACGCTGTTTATCATTGTGGGCGGGCATTAAAATAAAATATACGACCAGAGTTTGTACTATTCTGTAATCACCAGCTGGAGCGAGATGTTCTTTTTAAAGATAATTACTGTAGACGGCAAACAAAACCAGTGTTTTAAAAATGATGTGGGAATTTCGAATAAATACTTGTGTAAAGGGAGATAAGCGAAGTTTTTGACAATTATTTCTTCGTGAAATGCATTAATTATGAGATAAGAGTAAATTGATTTTTTTTCTGAGGTTAATCACGGTAATTAGTTGTGATGGTTTAAAAATGGAGTCTAGAGATAAAAGACTGTGTATTAGGTTCAGATATGATAACCCCGCCATTCCTCAGGTGTTTCTGTAAGACTAATGTAAGGCTAATTGAAATTATGTAATGTGACACCAATCTGTTTGAGTTTGTCTTTTTCCCTTGGTCTGTCATGTTTCATGGAAATAGAAATTAAGGGAGTTTTACGTCTTCATCCTACTGTTAGTGTGCTTACCCAATCTTCACAAAACATTAAATCCATATCCAAACCAATATTCAGAAAGTGTCGTTTCTATGAATCAATTAGAGGAGGGATCGAGTAGGGCCACAGAAATGTTGATGACCCCCCCACACCCCTAAGGTGACGACAAAGAATACTAAATCAATATGAAAGGGGGTCAATCCATGTCCAAAGGCAGGATAACGTATATGGTATCATTGGTTCGAGATGTCGACCACAAAACTTTCTGGTAGTAGGTTAGTGCTCTGTTCACATCCAAAAACTAACATAACTCACAAGTTCAAGATGTCGACCACAAAACTTTCTGGTTAGTGCACTGTTAAAAGTGAAACTAACATAACTAACTATGAAGTCAAGATGTCGACCACAAAACCTTCTGGTAACATTGGTTAGTCTACGGATCAAAGTGAAGACTTGACTGTTCTACTGAACATAACTGTTCTATGAGTAACAGCCAAGCTTCTTATCTAGAATCTGAATGTCACTCTACATTAAGAAACGACTAAGAAATTGTTAAGTTTTGTCTGTAAAACACAACTCATTGCAATAATTAAAGTTTTAAACATAATTCTACAACCTTATCATATTTCTTGACAACACTTGAATTTCATCTTCTCTTTAATTAGATAGTTTTTACTTTTAAAGTCGTTGGGTACAATATTGTGATAAATTTGGAGTTTTACGTCCTACTTTTCTTAACTGAATAATAATTGGCTGAAATCCTTTGCTACCCTCTTGATAATGATATGGGTTCTATGTTCACACAACTAAAGAATTCTGCTTGCTATTCCTTTAAACCATGCTATTTGACAGGATGTTATCAGAATACATTTCTCTTGAAGGAAATCCTGCGACTGATTTTGACTTGCCACTCGTAGAATCCACACAACAAGTAAACTATTTGTTTTGAAAGTAGACTTTTAACTCCTTTAATCATGATATATGACACTATGATGTATTTAAAAGAACTCATATAACTTAAAATGTTTGGAGATTAAAGAATTAGAATTAAAACTACCTTAAATATGAATAAAAATTTCGCTTTTTAATATTCCAAATAACATATGGTGTCGTTAGCCTATATGATATTCAACCGTCAAATTATTCCGGCAAGATTGTTAAACTAAATACCAAGATTTCAATTAGGCGACTGTTAATGGTTTCTCAGAAGTTTATGAAGAAACGCTTGAGTGGCTGTTCATTGAATTAAAAGATAGGTTCCTGCAACTATCATCTGCTTTAAGCGCCTCAAAGACAAAATAAACAGACCACCTGAAGCGATATATTATAAAGAAAGAAGTGTGTTGTATATGGTATATAGTGATGCTAACGTATTAAATGTGTGAACGCTCTATTGTATATAATGAGTTTAACAGGTAGAGCGTGATTAAATTCTACCCCCTGTCAATTACCCTCTTGTTATTATTATATAGTATTATATCACGGGGCGGATACTGCTATGGGTGGTAGGGACATCTCGACACCCGCCCCCACCCCACCCTCATCATCCCTACAACACACAAACTATTGCATATATTTACCTTGTTTCTCTGTATAGCAGGTAGCAGAGACCAAGATTAATATTGACGATCTCACGTGATTTTAAAACCGGCCAATCAACACGCTTAAGTGACAATTTTAAGGGTTTTTTTTCAAAATATGAAAACGTTTTCACATTACAACTAAAATACATGTGCATTCATTTTAAAACTCAGTCAACCCAGTGATTCTTCTGTAATTCAAAACCATCCACAATAATTTTAAACTTAATTTTTCTACACCTTTAGGCCCACTACATCAAGTGCATGCCAATGACCACACTTAATTCACTCTTTACATTACTGTCAAATTTATTAACATAAGTATGATGATCTTTGCAGTAGATAATATCACTATGTTCTTCATATTCCATCTGTATATCGCTTATATAGAATTTTTAAACAGATTTACACAAAGATGGTTGTATTGGAGTTGATAGAATATTAATGATATTTATATAAAAAATAAAACCCCGCCATTAACCACGTGCCTGATGTCTGATTAATGGTTAATGATTTCTCCATTCTATATTTAAATATTTTGACAACTCTTTAATTACTATATGAGTTTCATCATTTGAACAAAGAAGGCAAATGTGTTGCAATGGTAGACACGGGATTTAATTCTAAGATGACGTTGCAACTGGTTGCTACAGTCTAACGGAAGTGACGTCATCTCGGTTTCCAGATGTCCTACTCCAATTCTAATCTAATAGGAATAAGGATTGCAAATCAAAATGAATTACGCGACAGTTCTAAACTGAAAAGTGACATGGATGGCCTAGGCTACATGTATTATAATTCAGCTGAAAAAGTGGATATTCCAAAGCTATACAAAAAATAAACAACAATATTTTATAAAGATAACAACTAAGATTCACAAAGGATCCTTTCTACTATCTGGTCCTTGGCCAAATCTCTTGACATTGATCTCTTCAGGATTATCCGTTCCTATTTACAGCGGAATCGACTGGAATTATGAATGAAGATGACTTATTCAAGACCATCATACATTCATACGCCGACCGAGATCAGATCCCACACCCGCCATTTGTTCGACGTAACTAAGTGACGTCATATATAAAGAACCATAGCTCTAACGACTGCGCTACTGAGCCCAATATTCCGATTCAATCGTTCATTCCCACGGTTTGTTATATCATTGTCTTTATATTGTCCCCTGCCGAGTTTCGTCATCTTGAACAGTACATCAGACGACAATCTGTACACCACCGACAGTAACCGAAAACGATCAAACAACGTAGGTAACTATAACAGTATTTTACCAAGAGTATAGTTTTACTATGAACTATGTTGGTATTGGACTATTATAATTATTATCATATTGAAATATAAACTTGATAACGTAGGTATCTCTCACTTACATACTTACAATGGCTTCGTTTGATAACACATGCCGATTTCCGGTATCACTTTCAAAGGGAGATAACTGTGTGATGTAAAAATATCGTTAGTCAATACACTAGGGACTTCTACAAAAGGAATCAAACACGTTTAGAGATTTGAAATGTCTTCTGTTTATTTGAAATTTGTACTCAGTTGTTTGAAAGTTTTATCTAAGGAGTTTTCTATTTTGCTAAGATAATGAGGTTCAGATCGACAGATAGCTTCAGAACTTTTTGTATTTCAAAATATTAATACCTGCGGTGGTTATGACATTTTAAATTACCATTGGATATTGTGGTTAAAATGTCTTTAGGTTTTATACTGTGGCTTATATTACCTCTAAACTGATATAGTCACATTCATAAATAGGGCCTAGAGAAAAAAATAGGGTCGATCGGGAGAAAGAAGATTGGATTGGTAAACTGGAGCCCTCTGTGCTATAAGCTGTACACGAACTGTAAAGATCCATTGAGAGCTGGATATCGAAAAAGAGAAGGTAATGCTGCTGTTCTGGCAACATTTCCTATATAGCACACTTCATGGTGTTGTCTGTCTTTATTAGCTCAAACGGGATCAGATAAAGTAGGACGCAAAACTTCATTTTGCATCTTTGAATGGAAACATGCAGTTATACCCATGATTAAGGTACACTTGAAGCTGACAAAGTAGAGTCTGATACATCATTAGCT